GTCCCTTCACAGATCGGAGCCCCTGGATCGTTGTGGAGGTCAGTGTCCGGCAAGAAAGACCCCGCGTCTGTGTTTGAAGAACAGAATGTCGTTTTTAAATGTTTTGTTCATTCATTTTTTTGAGACGCGTCTCTTTTTGTTGCCCAGTGTGGCCTTGAGCTCCTGGTGTCCTGCCTTCCGAGTAACCTGGATTCCAGGTGTGGGGGCCTCAGGACCACGAGACACTGGCCGGGGACTGGCGCTGCACTGAGGGGTGTAGCCGTGTCCCTGCAGCTCCCAGTGAGAGTGGGGCTCACTGTGGCTGGGTGAGCAAGAAAGCCTCGCCTCTGATGGGTCACTGGGTCCACCCACACACCTGCTTGTGATGTCCCTCGGGCTGGAATGGGTCATTGCAGTGGATGCAGAATCCCACACTGGCTCTCTGTGGTCGGGAGGGCCACGTGGACCTCCTCCTCCCCACCAAGATAGTGACCCAGAGTCAGAGCGCATCCCACAGGGCTCTGCAGAGCTAAATGTGACCCTGACAGCCTCCAGAGAAGCACCTTGCACAGCCTGGCTTAACTCAGCAGTTTGGAACGTGCAGGAGTGGATGACCCCAGAGTCGCTCATGCGGGACTCTGCTTGCAGCTGCTCCCAGCTCTGGTGTCTTTATTGCACCAGGTAAGCACAGCCCCAGGCACTTGCCAAGCTGCCACTCACCCATCTGATGCCCTTTGCTCCCATCCAGTGAGTGAGGACAGAAGCCATCTGTCGCTCCAGGCACCTTCGTGGTTCCCCCTCCAGCTTCTTCTATTCTGCTCTCTGCTGTGGGACAGCACCGTCCTCAGGGGTCTTCAATGCCTTGACAGCTCAGGAAACAGCACAAGAAGGCAGGGTGCTGGAGGTGGGCAGCAGGAAGGCAGCTGTGGAGAGCACCTGAGGGGGCACATGCAAGAGGAGACGGGAAAATAAAACACCAGCCACCGGAGGAGGGTCAGCTCCATGAATGGCTCAAGGTGAGGAGGGCGGAGTCACCCCTTCCATGGTCCAAGGCAGGTCAGGACACCTGTACCCCAACCATGAAGGTGCTCCATGATCCAGAGGCCTCTTGGGATTTGGGAGGCAACATACCCACAGGTGTGTCAGCGACTGCAACCTCACCACAAAGGCCCTGGAACCTGCTGCCAGCTTTGATGGGGACCAGAGCAAGAGAAGGCTCTGTAGCAAGTTCAGGTGGTCACAGGGGCTTCTCTGCTGCTTGGGAACCCAGTGGCACATGACCAGCCAGCCAGCATGCCCACTGGACTCTCCACCCACCTGTGTCCTGCGACTGATGTTGGTCCCACTTGGTGGGCCCCCAAAAGGTGAAGACCACCCTCTTCTCAGGGGCCCCATAAGCATTCTTGGAAATGTACTTCTTGTGTGAAGCCACATAGGAACTTGTCCTGCCTCCTAAAATACAGGTGTTACAGTTGTTCGCTTTCCTCCTAAGAGGCAAGGCTCTGAGGTTAAGGACACACCACTAAGGCCCAAAGCAGGCCAGCCCCAGCTCACTTTCCAAGGCTGGGATGGCTGAGAGCATGGCGCTAGATTTTCTGTGCAACTGCTAACACACCCTGTGGTGCCTAGATGGGTGCCTCAGGCCAAACAGGAAAACCAACACAAAACAGCTGGAGGGCCACCTGCCTACCTAAGGTGAACTCTGATGGCTCCTCACTTTGGTGCAACTGATGGAGTCGGTGTGGAGTAGCCTGGTCCTGCTGCCTGAATCTGGTGGGCAGAGTCCTCAGTGAAGTGCTGCAGAAGGTCAGCTGAAGACCTCCAGCCTGTGCCACCCACCAGCACTGCGGCTGCAGGAGACGCACGGTCCAGGGGACGTCGACCAGAGGCCAAGACCCTGCTGCCCTGAGGGATGCATGGAGTGGAGACCCTCCTCCCCGGGTCTCTCCTGTTGCTGTGCTTGTTGGCATCGGAGGCTCTGTGGCCTCAGAAGCAGACTGTGTTGAAGGAGGGCAGAGCTGACGACCTTGCAAGACAGAGATGGAGCTTCTCCCTGGAGCGGAGGTGAGTGTGCTCACCGCCCAGCGAGTGTGACGAGCTCAGTGGGGGCAGGTGGGGCAGGTGTGTTTGCCTGGAAAAGGCTCAGGTTCCTTAAGTCTGGGTTCTGCAGCTGTGCTGAGAGCTGCCCTGTGTACAGTGACCAAGGAAGCTGTTCAGGAGGATCAGGAGTTCAAGTCCAGCCCAGGCAATGTAAAGAGACCCAGACTAAATTAATTAACTAATTACTTTGAAAATAAAATACATCCTTGAGACACAGATACAGGGTCTTCCCCGCAGGAGACCTGAACTCACTTCCATCCAGGGGCTCAGACCTATAAAATGAGTTGGGGGTTGGGTTTGCAGGCCAGGAGGGAGGTCGGGGTGAGAAACTGATGTGACTCCATTTTTGAGAAACCAGCCTCTACCTCAGAGCAAAGGCTGTCCTAAGGAAGGGGACGTGACCCTTGTCCTGGGAAAGACCCACAGAGCACTCCAAGGCACATACCCTCCCTGCTGGGTTGTTTGTTGATAAATAACAGGAGAGATCTGAGGCACCAGGTATCCCTGAATCAGTTAGGCTAGGTGAGGACCCACAGCAACCCCCTAGCAACCACCAATCAGCATGAAACGGGGAAAATACCTGGGTTGCCAGATGACCCCCAGTAGTTTATGGTGGTTGATAACATGTTGGGAAACCATGTAGTTTAGCAGTACACCCCTCGTGACCTAAACCAATCAGTTCAAAGGAATCCCCCTCTTGTATTAACCAATCACCCCTACCCAACTTGTTCCCACCAGTGAATGTGCTAATCAATGTTAAGAGTTTTTGTTTGATTTTCCCGCCGTATGGAATGACTTGCTGTGTGATGTCGTGATGCATAGAGTATCCCCCCAAAACCTATAAAATCTCAATGAACAAAGGACTGGGACTCACTCCCTGGGACTGCTGCGTTGGAAACGGTTGTGAGTCCAGGCTCGAGCTTGCAATAAAGACTGTGTGATTGCATTGGATTCGGCTCCTGGAGGTCTACTGGGGTCCCACGAATCTGGCATTGCAGGGGCTCCACGTGGTTGCTTCCCAAGTTGATGGCCACTAGACCTGCGACACTTTTCTCTTGTGTACATCCTGAATTTCTCTAATAAACTGACAGTATATTTCATGCGTGGGACAAATGATCATTTGACAAAGGTTAGCATCTCAGTGGCCCCAGGTGCTGGTCCCCGGTGCTTCCCTCTGGCGTTTTATGGCAAATGCATTCACCTTGCCTGTGGTGGGGAAGTGCTGCCAGATGTCCTCTGTTGGTCTGTGATCTCATCTGGATTAAAATTAGGGAGCCCACCTCTATGTGGCCTTCTCCTCGATCACCCAGCTTAAAAAGTGTGGGAACCCAAGGGGACTTTGCTAAAGCCGCAGGCACTCTCCTCAGTAATGGATTCCTCTACTGCATTCCTATACACACGGAACCTAGACGAGCGCCCAGTGCAGAGGGCCTGCCTCTTCCTCAGGATCTGTGGAAGAATCAAGAATGAGCTGGCTTGTCCCTCTCCTCTTTCTTCTTCTCTATCTCCAGTAAGGAGCTCCCAGCTCAGAAGGCAAAACGTAAGAGCCCATCTTTATCGTTGCCAAGGGTTGGACCCAGGGCCTAGTGCAAGCTAAGCCCAGGTCTAAGCCGAGCCACACCCCATCTCTGAGTGTTTTAAATACAGTGTATGAAGCTGGCATAGTGGCACAGGCTACTCAGGAGACTGAGTGAGGACCATCACAAGTTCAAGTCCATCCTGTGCAACTTAGCAACATGCTGTTCCCAAAACAAAAAACAAAAACAAAAACAAAATCCGGGGTATACCACAGGAGTACGGATTTTGCCTAGCATGCTCCAAGCCCTGGGTTCAATTTCTAGTACGACTAAAAATTAAATGAAAATAAGTAATAGTGTGTGACTTTAAAATGTGCTACTTAGCGAGACCAACAGATGAAAGGAGGAAGGTCACAGAAAAGGAGGTTTGTTACTCACAGTTCCCAAGATGAGGACGAAGGACCCTTCAGGGGTGGCCTCCTGGGGAGCAGCAGGCAGAAAAAAGAGGGAACTGTGGCTCCACAGGATGGAAATGGCCAGGTAGGGTCAGCAGGCTCAGGACTGGACGTTGGAATGACTTCAGCAGGCTCCAGGTTACCGGGGCTGGACCCGGTTGTCTGGTACCTGCCCAGGGTGATTGTAGCAGGTGCGCAGTGGCCCAGCATGTGAGGACCCAGTGAAGGACGCGGCTGAGGAGGGGGCTCTGGATTGGCTGCTTTGCCGTGACACGCGTGCTCCTGGGTGGCGATTCACCCTTTCTCGATACTGGCCCGTCCTGGGCAGGGCAGTCCCTTAGAGATGGGCAAGGCTGTTGATGTCCAAGCACCAGAGTGCAGAAGACAATCTCAGGCCTCATACAAAGAGTAATTGTGACGCCGACTTCTGACATCCCTGGAGCAGAGGAGGCCGGGGAACCGGGACAGGAGGCGTGAGACTTGGGTACAGGAGCTTGGCTCTGACACCAATGTCCTTCCTCACTCTGGTCGCCATGCCACTCAGACCACCTCTCTAATCTCTGATTTCACTCTTGAAAGAAGAGCCACAGGGCACCTGATGTGGTTTCTGGCAGTTTCCCTATTCTTCCAGGGGCCTGGCTGGGGTTTGAACTTATCTCCCGGATACCACATCCCCATGGGCATTCCCAGTCCTGCCCAGGGTGGTGACGGTCAGGGTGGTGTGATAGAGAAGAGAACACCCCTAGGAAGAAGGTGCCAGTCTTCACTTCAGCAGGGACAGGGTCTCTCCAGGTAGGCATGTGGCACAGTCCCGGTATCTGGAGACCTTTCAGATCTGCCCGAGTGGGCTGTCTGCTGGTTATAAGGTGCCTGTGTGTGCGGGAGGGAGGTCTGTGTGGTCTTCTCCAGGTGACACTGTTTCTTCGGTCACTCAAGGAGCCGGAGCACCATGATTGCCTTGCTGGAGACCCTCCTGGTGGCTGCGAGCATCCTGAGTCTGGGGGTCAGCCTGTGGATCCTGCGGGAGCCTCTGCTCGCCTTCGACGTTCCGCCTGCCGTCCGCCATCCAGTGAGGTTTTGGGTCCTGCACTGCCTCATGCAGCTGACAGTCACCTGGGTAAATTTCCCCTTTTACTCACAGGTCCTGCCAGGGTCGACCTGAGGGCCTCGGGTTCAAAAAAAAAGGGGACCGCAAGGGAGCATTTTGAAAAGAGCTCCAGGTTCTAACAGGTGACCTTGTGTTCAAGGAACCAGTGGCTAGTGGAGTGGCCATGAAATGAGCCCTGGATGTCCTCTCAGTCACTTGCCGGGCAGAGGACACTCAGCATAAGGAGACACAAGGAAGAGGATTCTGATGAGCAGGAATTTGGGGCTTCTCTGTGGATGAAGCTGGGGAAGGAGAGAGAATGTGGTGTCCATGCCTGGGAGGGGCCGCGGAGTCCTATAGTCCATCCCGTTGGTGGGACCATGTCCTATTCTTGTCACAAGGAAAGGGCTTTCAGTTGTGTGAGGGTCCAGAGGCTGAGGTCATGGGTCTGGTTGTGGATCTGAGTTGAGTGGTCAGAGCTGCAGGCACCGAGCAGAGCCCTGGGTTTTGATCTCTCCCAGGTGGGTTTGCTGCCTGTGGAAAATGATCCATTTTCCTACCGTTGAGGGAAACCCCATGGATTCTCCCTCATAGCTTCTGCCCTGGAGTCCTTGAAATTCAATGCACCAAGGTCAGGTGGACTGGAGACGAATTTCATTTGATATAAATAATTTTGTGTTGCACATGGAGCCCTCTCAGTTAGGGCTGAGAGCCTCCATACCATTTTGCCAAAGAACAATAAAGTTATAGGAAGGGAGGAGATGGGAAGTGGTTTAGGTGTTCAGGGGCAGCAAACTATGAGAGAATAAATACATGGGGAAACTTCTGGACGATGAGTGTTTGTTACATTGGTGATCAAGATAGCCATTCAGCCAGTCATTGTAGTGCACGCCTGTAAATCCCAGCTGCTTGGGAGGCTGAGGCAGGAGGACGGCGAGTTCAAAGCCAGCCTCCGCAGAAGTGAGGTGCTAAGCGACTCAGTGAGATCCTGTCTCTAAATAAAATACAAAATTGGGCTGGGGATGTGGCTCAGTGGTCGAGTGCCCTTGAGTTCAATCCCTGGCACCCTCCCCCCGCCAAAAAAAGATGGCCATCTGTCTAATTTCCACAATGAGTCTAGAGTTCCCTGGTGCTGTCCTTCCTGGTCTGAGCCAGGTTGTCTGGGCATTTCCCAAGGGAAATCTATTCTTTGTTTGAAGACAAATAAGGGGAAGGCAGGAGGCTTTTGGCTATTATTTTTTTCAACTCAATGTAATCCGGGTACCCATTGGCACATGATGGGTGGTATATTCTGGTTCCCATTGCATGTGGTGTCTTGGTTGGTGTCCTGAATCTGGCATAAAACTGTTATTGCCCATCGTATCTCATTTAGTGCTGACCTGGTACAATACCAACCAGAGACTTGCCAGAAATCATTAGCCCGTGAGGTGTCCCTCCAGGTGTGACCCCAGTCAATTTGGCTGCAGGGTATGTTCCATGGGACAATGGGCAAAACTGTTCCATTATATCAAGGTAGAAGCAAGGTAGGACCCAAGTTCTGAGCACAAAGGTCCCTGTAAACAGTTGTGAATGCCCTTGGCCAGCTGAGGGCCCTGGTGAAAGGCAGAGATGGCCCAGGCAGCCCGCCAAAGCCTCCATCTGCCAGGCCCTGGCTGGGCAACTCAGTAGAGGTGTCTCAACCTCTCTGGACCTTGATGTTCCCATCCATGATGTAGGTTCCTTTTACTTTTTCATTCTCTGCCTATGAGAAAAATCAAACCTCTCCATCCTAAGCAGGAGAGGTTTCATTCTGCTGTTGATTTCTGAGCTATTGGAAGAAACTCTTTTCAGTGTGTGGCTCTTTTGTTTCAGGAGCATGTCTGAGCTGACCGCCTCATCCCAGTGGGTTCTCTGGGGCCATAGCACTGGCTGGGCTTCTGTCCTGTGCAGGGCCTTCTGCTGCGTGCAGGGTCTGGGGCAGACACAGGGGTCTGGAAAAGATCCACATGGAGGCTGAGGATCTTCAGCCCCCCTGAGGGACAAGGCTGAGGAAAGGAGGGGACAAAACCCGGCCCTCTTTCCAGTACTTAGCAGTGGGATCACAGAGGCCCATCCTCTGAGCCAGGGCTGTGCTGTGTGGAGTCCTCCCTGTCCCCCAGCATGGAGGTAGAGCAGGTGAAGGATACACGCAGCCCCAGGAGGCAGGGAGCTCGTCCTCCCCAGGTGCTGTTCCACGATCTGAGAACAAAGGCAGAGGCCAAGGACAAGAACCGCAAGGGGAAGGCAAAGCACTAAGTGTCTCTGAGCCTCCCTTGTAGGGAGAGGGATGGATGGTCCTCAATGCCCTCCGCACCCCTCAGGCCAGGCAGTGCCCTGGAGGGAGGTGCTATGGGAAGGCAGGCAGGAGGGCTCTGCAAATGTCGGCCTGGGAGGCAGGGTGGGGGATGCTGCCTTGCTGGGAGGGGACACCGGACAGCTGCTGAGTGTTGGGAGGCAGGCACTTGAGCTTCTTGGGAACTGAGTGATCCAGGGGTCACGGGTGCTTGGGAAGGGCCAGGAGCCTTTTGTGGCTGGGACAGGGTGAGCAGAGGAGAGAGGGACATGGCTTCAGGGGCTGTGGGTGGGGAACCCTGTAGGGCCTTGCAGGTCATTACCTTGAGCCAGACTGGAGGCCACCAGGCCACTGGGGAGTTTGTGTCATGGGGACTTGATGCAGAGTCTTCAGCTGAGCCCGGCAGTGGCAGGGGCAACACCATCTGGGGACAGGAACAGAGAAGTCCTGCAAACAGCCGACTGCTCTCTCCTTCACTCCCCTACAGGGCTACATACTTGAGAAGCTGGGGATTTGCTCCATGCCCAGGTTTGTCCGCTTCCTGCAGGACAGACTGACCATAAAGAACAACCGTGAAGTGGTGGTGACAGACCTGCGTTTTGGGACAATCCCCGTGAGGCTGTTCCGGCCCAAGGCCGCGTCCTCCAGCCTGCGGCGCGGCATCCTCTTCTACCACGGAGGGGCCTCCATATTCGGCAGCCTGGGTAAGCCGCTTCCCAGGGGAGGGAGGCGAGGGGGGTCTGGCTGCTCGCAAAGGGGCTTCTGGGAGAGCCTCCAGGGAGTGAGTCTACCAAGTCAGAGGCTGGAGAGTGTCCGGGGAGCCCAGATGGAGGGCCTGGGGCTCAGCTTAGTGGATGGGACTCTGCCTCCATGGTCGATGTGTCTATGATGCAATAGTCCCGGGACGGGTGGGGGCAGTGACGTCTCAGCAGGGCCGTCACAGCATGGGGTGTGCACTTGTTTCTGTCTCAGCCTCAATGGAGGTCCCTGCCCCCCAGCTTTACATGGCTGGGTCCCATCGTTCTTCCAGTTGTGTATCAAATGGCCCTTCCCAGATGTGACTCCCAACATCTGGTTTAGAAACTGTCTCTGCACTTTCAATGGTGCCACCCAAGACCTTGCTTCCATCCCTGACATCATCCTGGTGAAATGCCTGGCACTTATCACAATCTGAATGTACCTTGGTTGGCCTTGTGTTTTCTCATTTACTTGGTGTCTGTCTCCACTAAGAATTGGGACCTCAAAAGGACACTGAAGACCTCTGTTGTCTGGTTGGCAGGCTCGCCAGTGCCTGCTTTCCTTTTTTGAAGGCAGGCAGGCAGGAAGAAAGGCAGGCATCAATTCTTGAACAAATAGCTCGATGGATGGGTGAATAGTTGCATTTAATGATGTGTTTGCCAAGGAATAAATGGATGGGGGATGGCTGGCGGAATGAATGGATGGGTGGATGGATGGATGCAGGGACAAAAGACGGATGCCTGTCAACATTTGGCCATATGCATGGACAGCCTTCTCCCCTTGCACAGCCTCCCTTAGTGGAGGGAGTACTTACTGCCACCTGCTGGTGGAAATAACAGTGGCGCCTCTGTACCTGAGGCCTGGCCATGGTTTTCGCTCTCATTCAGAAGGTAACTGGAAGTAAGGTGTCTCCCAGGTCCAAGAGAACTGTTCCCTGTCAGGGGCCCTGGACCCCCCACACCCCGAGTTGTCTGCATGTGCTGAGGGACAATTTCCTTTTCCAAGTAAAATCAGGAACGGCTCAGCAAACATTTATTGAGCACCTACTGTATGTTAGATCCTTCCCAGGCACAAAGGACACAGTGGGATTGTGCCTTTGGCTTGTGGCTGTCCGTCAGGGGAGGGGCAGGATGATGCAGAAGAGGATGGACACGTAGGTCGTTTCAGATGCTGATTACACAGGGTGGTGGCATGGAGCGTGGTGCAGAGGCATTGAGTTCAGGCCTTCCTAGGAAACAAGGTCCCTGTGCGGTGTGACAATGCATGGTGTGCACTTGTGTACCCAGGTCACGTGGCCCTTTCTGGGGTGGTGACCCTGGCAGGTCATACAATAGTCAGCTGATCTCTGGAGCAGCTTGTGGGCACATGCCTGACCTTGGGAACGTGATGTGTACCTGTGTCTATGGGAGACGTGCTGAGTCTCTTGGTGGAATGTGGAGGCAGAGGTCACCTCCAGGTCAACTCCTGTGGGGGGGGGGTCCTGCTACGTTTACCCCCCATTCCCAGAGTCTTCCTCTGTCCCTGCTGAACTCCTGCTAAATGAGTGACAATGTCTGGAAAAACGACCCATCCCGCCATCACTTATTCCCTGCTCAACATAGATAATGGAATCCTTCTTCCCTGGGCGGCTCACCTGACCCCTTCCCTAGTCCTGGCTTCTGCCACTCCAGGTCCCCAAGCCTTCCTGGCCTCAGTTTCCCCCACTGTAAAGTTAACGTTGCACAAAGTGAGCCCAAGGTCCGCGAGCCCTGGCGTTCTGGAGAGTGGGGCAGGCGTCTGGCTTTGCCCAGACGGCGCAGCCCAGGCCTCGGAACAGAGAGCTGGTCTGCCCACTGCCCGGCCTGGGTGGCGGTGGCCGTCCCTCATGGGCGGCGCCGGGCCTGTCTTCCTGCAGACAGTTACCACAACGTGTGCAGTTTCCTGGCCCGGGAGACGGACTCCGTGCTGCTGTCTGTCGGGTGAGTGTCGCGAGACAGCGGGGGCTTCTCCGAGGCTGGGAAGGTGGGGGCAGCTGGACGAGTGCAGCCCAGAGCGACGCCCCGACTCCAGGGGTCGGGCGCAGGCGCAGCACGGCTTGGAGCAGAAGCCTGGGAAGACGCCCACCTCGGGGCAGCGCAGGGACAAGCTGTGGGCAGGAGAGCCGGGTCACTAGGAGGCCACAGCACGAGCCAGGGGCCTGGAGGTCACAGTGTGAGGAGGCATCCTAGTGGGAGCCAGGGAGCCAGGGGAGGGTCAGGGTCCAGGGGGCGGGGCCGGGGCTGGTGGCGGCGGCGGGGGCCCAGATCTTGCCATAAGGGCCGCTGTTTGCACCCCACCCTCTTCTCTATCACGGGACAACTTCAGGTTGACTGACTTTCACCATCTTTATTTTGGGGTCACCCTGAGGATAATAGCTACAGTGGGACAGGCGGTGGGGTCCCTGTTTGAGCAGCCTCCAGTGACACCCGCGCACACCCGCGTGTTCTGGTCCCTCTCTTCCTTAGGTACCGCAAGGCCCTGGAGCACCATTACCCTGTGGCCATCACAGACTGCCTCAACGCCTCCATCTACTTCCTGAAGACCCTGGAAGCCTACGGGGTGGACCCCTCCAGGGTGGTGGCCTGTGGAGACAGCATTGGAGGAATGATTGTGGCCATAATCACCCAGACCTTGGTGGGCAGAACAGATCTTCCCCAGCTCCGGGCTCAGGTCCTGGTTTATCCCGTTATACAGGCCATCAATTTACAGTTACCCTCCTTTCAGCAGAACCAAAATGTCCCATTCCTTTCTGTACAACTCATGATGACATGTGTGTGTTCATACCTGGCCATTGACCTCTCCTGGAAAGACGCCATTTTGAAAGGGGCATGTATACCCCGTGATTTCTGGAACAAGTACAGGAAGTGGCTCAGCTCTGACAACCTCCCCAAGAGGTTCAGGACCAAAGGCCAGCAACCTGAGACCCTTGCACCTTTTAATGAGGCCGCCTATCTGGAAACCAAACACATTTTGGATGTAGAAAACGCACCCCTCATAGCAGAAGATAAGATCATCGCTCAGCTTCCTGAGGCCTTCCTGGTGAGCTGTGAGCTGGACATGCTCCGGGATGACTCCCTGCTATATAAGAAGCGCTTGGAAGACCAGGGTGTCCGTGTGACCTGGTACCACGTGGAGGATGGCTTTCATGGATGCTTAGTTTTATTTGATAAGATGTTTTTCTCTTTCCCATGCTCCCTGAATATTATGAATGCTGTAGTCAATTATATAAAGGGCCTATGAAGGCCTGGGGATGGAGCTCAGTGCTAGAGCATTTGCCTAGCATACACAAGGTCCTGGGTTTGAGCACCAGCACCGTAAACAAATAAGTGAATAAATGAATAAATAAATAAATAAAAGGGAGAGATAAGTGAAAAGAGAAAAGCCTATGGTGGTAATCCTTTTGCCCTGAGTAGGCCAAAGCATGGATGGTGTCTGTCTAAAACTGGGGTCTTTGGTAAGTTCTGTTTTATTGAGGAGGAATCAGTGAATCAATGCACAGCCCAAGGTGGGTCCAGGAGACAGCCGCTAACCAATGTCTGGCTTCATATTTGAGAAAATGTAAACTGTTTTTAGTACCAATAAGATCCAATGTTGCATCTCGCATCAATTTCTAACATTTTTGTTCAGGTGAAGTAACTATCCACAAGAGAATTTAATGCCTTCAATAATTTCTTAAGGTAATAACCTGTCAGGTCCTTGCAGGAAAACATTCCCACATCTGGTCACAGTGTCAATGCTGAGTCCACACCCATGGTGACAAAGCTGGGGCCATGGCCTTGCTAGAATATCCCCCATAACCTCATTATTCTTGGGGTCAAGGTCTCTTGTCAAATGTCAACTTGGACTGTCTGCAGTTGGCTGGAGAAATGCTATTGCAAGAAAACTCTCCCTGGATTGGGTGGGCTAGAACCCAGGAAGATGTCAGAGGAGTCTACCAGAAAGAGAAGGAGAAAGAGAGAGGAACAAGCAAGATGGGAGGAATGGCAGGAAAGGGGGAGCTTTGTCTGGCTTCAGGTTTTTAACTGGACTTCCTACAGCAGATCCCTGACTCCCAAGACAGAAGTCTCAGAGCCAAGGCTGTCTTGGGAAGCTCCAGATGCCAACTGGGATTTGGAAAGTCATTCCCTGAGGGAGCAAGATATTGTTGGCCTCCTTTTTCTAGGAGTTTAGATATCACTCCATCTATGGTAAAGTACAAAGCACCTTGCCTGTGTTTAGCCAATGCTAGGATTTGCTCACAGAGAAAGGGCAGGGAACCCTGCCCATTCATGCATGGGGTGGCCCATGGTAGTTTGTGCATAGGTCCATGTTAGCTAGATGGTCCTGTGAGAGCCTCAAACCCTGCTGCTCTCCAGTCCCACGTGGGTGATGAAGCTGGAGGCTCTCCCTGCTAGGCAACTGTAGCCTCTGTGGTCCCAATGACCTCACCTGTGACTGCTGGTGGAGGGGGCCTCACAGATGTCCTGGTCCTTGCATTGAGGACAATCCACACAGGAAATTTGGATTGGGCTCCTGGGATCTTGGGTGGACATGGTGACTCAGGGATTGTATGTGAGCAGCTTTGAGGAAGGCTTGTGGCTGTTCTGTGTCCATGTCACAACACCACCACAAATATGGCCGCTTACCACAGGACACAGTCCCCATCTCACGTTTCTGTGGCCAGGGGTCTGGACACGACTCAGCTGGGTTCTGGGTAGAGTCCCGCAGGCCGTCATGACAGTGTTGGGCTGTGTCTCATGTGAGGCTCACGTGGGAAGCGCCTACATCAAGCTCAGCCAGGTTGTTAGGCACAATCCAGTCCCTCAGGTTATAGGCTGAGGACATCTGTGTCCTGTTAGTTGTCTGCCAGGGGCCACCACCCTCAATATCTAGAGGCCACTCACTATCTTGCCATATGCTCTTCACCAAATAGCTTCCTTAAAGCCAGTGGCAGAGAGGCATCCTGGAGTAGAGGCCACTAGAATCTACTGGAGTGTCATCATGAACAGGTAACCACATCCATGCCATCTCAGAAGCCAGTCAGGTATCTTGATCACACAAAGTGCCAACAGCAGGGGTGGGCATCAGGGGCTACCTCTGATCTGTTCTATATGAAAGGCTCCCCCAGCAGATGAAGGAATGGGAGGAACAGTCATTTGTGAGCTTTTTCTTTTGAGTGTAGTATTTCCTGAAGTAATTTCTGTAGTGCCAGCTTAGTAGTTTCTGCTTATCCTGGAAGATTGTAATCTTTTCTTTGATTCTGAAGGATAGCTTTGCTGGATATAGTGATCTTGGTTGACAGTTGTTTTCTTTCAGGACTTGGAACACATCATTCCAAGTCCTACTGGGCTTTCGTGATTATGCTGAGAAATTGGAAGTAATTCTGATGGGTTTTCCTCTAAATGAGACCTGACTTTTTTTTTTGTCTTGAGGCTTTTATAATTCTATCCTTGTTCTGTATGTTAGGCATTTCAGTTATAATGTGTTGAGAGTATTTAATTTTTTTTGTACTATGTATTGAACATAAGGACGCTTAACCACAGCATCACACCCCATAGCTATTTTAAAAACTTTTATTTAGAGACAGACTCTCACTAAGTTGCTCAGGGCATTGCTAAGCTGCTGAGGCTTGCTTTGAACTTGAAATCCTCCTGCCTCAGCCTCCCCAACTTCTGGGATTATAGGTGTGCAACACCATGACTGGCAAGAGGTTCTTTTTTGATCTTGTCTATTTGACATTCTGAATACATCCTGCATCTGATTTTCCATTTCATTCTCGAGGTTTGGGAATTTTTCTGTTATTATTTCCCTGAAGAGGTTGTGCATGCCATAAGTCTGCATCTCCTAACACTCTTCAATTGCGATGATTTTTGATTTGATCTTTTAATGTTGACCTAGAGTTCTTAATTATTCTGATCATAGTTACTTATTTTCTCTTCTTAATACTGTCTGAGTGTTCAAGGTCTTGTCTTCCAGCTCTAAGATTTGTCTTCAGTATGGTCTACTGTAATACAGAAACACTTAAATGAACACATTATTTGATTTTTTTTGTGTGTGTGTCTTTCATTTCCAAGATTGCTGTTTGGTTCTTTTTCAATATCTCTATCTTCTTATTGAATTCCTCATTCATATCCTGTACTAACTTCCTAAATTCATTCAGTTGTTTTTTTGTGTTCTCTTGGAATTCATTGATAATTTTTATAATCATCCTTTTTTGTTCTTTATCTGGTATTTTATCCACTTCATTATCTTCAGAATCAGTTGTTGGTGAATAATGAACTTTAGGAGGTGTCATGATACCTTGTCTTTTCACATTTCTTATATTCCTGTGTTGGATTTTATGCAACTATTGGGATAGATTTTTCTTCCACCTTCCACCCTTATATGTGGAACAATTTAGGGCACAACTTTCTCTTGGCAAAGTGTTCTTTCTAGGATATCAGGTTGTTATGAATTTTTTCAATATATTTCCATATGGGTTTTACCTTATAGTTTCCCTGCTAGTTCTCTGATGATTCTTAATGTGTTTTGATTCAATGTACATTTTTTTCAGAACTTGAGGATTCCATTTTCTTGTAAATCTCAAGAGTTGGTTCCTCCTTGCAGAACTGGCAATTGTGTTACATACCGCTGGGTATGTGGGGTACAACTTCTGTGATTGCTCTTCTTCACTTAATAATCAGTATATTACAAGGGGATATGGGACTGATCTAGGTTGAGACCTCTCAAAGGTGTGGTGTCCACAGCCTTTGTGTTAATTCTCTCTCTCTCTCTCTCTCTGTTTCTGTAGGAGTGAATTTCCTGATGGCTTCTCCTAGCTATTCCTACTCTGGGCGTGGTCACTTGTTTGAGGTTTTTTTCCCCTTATATTCTTTGCATTAAAGTATCACTAAAGCTTGAGCATTGTTGATTTTTTAAACACACACACACACACACACACACACATACACACATATTGTTGTAGTTGTGGATGGACACAATATCTATTAGAATATGGCATATTCTAATTCCCTACAACAGCTTTTGAACATTTTATCGAATTTAGTTTTTGGAGTCTGGTGCAATATTATTATCCATTATTGGAAGATTAAGAAATTTGCCCAAAGTCATGAGCCAGTGAGTTTACATCCAGGATTGAACCCAGGCGGTCTGGGTGTGCGTGTCCCAAAGGGTGCTGTGGAACAAGGAGACTTACTTCTTCCCCTATTTGTACCTTCAATTATCCCATGTATTTATCCCCTAGTTTATTCTTGTTTTGTGAATATTAGTAGGTTTGTTGCAGAATGGTAAAATGTTTGTAAGAATAGAGTGATTTCCTGTTTCATGCTTTGCTGATGTGTACTATGTAGTTTATTCACCGTGTCATCTTTTCATAGCTACAAAATGATGACAAACACATAGCAAATCACAACTAAGAATCATAGTACTCCCTGGATCACTGAGATAAATATAGTGATGGTGTCAAATACGGACCAGGATACAGGAAACTATAACTCATGCCTCCCTTATGGGAATTTCAATTAGCATAGCCACTCTGGGAAAGAGTAAGGCACTTTCTTGCGAAATGATTATGTCCTTACCATATGGCCCATTGATTTAACCCTTGGGCATTTAACTGAGGGAAATTAAAGTCTTGTGTTCACATAAACAAACTTGAAGTTTTATGTTCATTTATATTCATTTCTGCATATGATGTCTATATAAGTCTTATTTAAAATAGCCTCAAATTGGAAGCAAACCACCTGTTCCTTAAAGGGTAGTTGGTTAAACAAACTGTGGATCCTTCGCACAGATGGACTCTACTCAGCAAAGAGATGGAATAAACTACTGATGTGTATTTAATAATTTGGATAAATCTCCAAGGAATTATGCTGAGTAAAAAGAGCCCAAATCAAAAGGTTACATGCCATGTGATCCCTTTTATTTAAAACTCTTGAAACTACAAATTGTAAAGATAGAGGACATATTAGCAGTTGCCAAGAGAGGGAGAAGAGAAGAGGACAGTGTGACAGAATCCTTCTGTAACTGCACATGTAATAGCATTGCACACACACACACACACACACACACCAGTGAAATCTCAATAAGCCCCATGAAAAACTGTACCAATGTCAATTTCTCAGTTGTGCTATTGTACTATAATTATGCAAGATGTTACCATTGGGCAGGGCGTGGTGGCACATACAAGTAATCCCAGCAGCTCAGGAGGCTGAGGCAGGAGGACTGCAAGTTCAAGGCCTCACTGAGCAACTTAGTGAGGC